TCCTCAGGGTGTCTCCAAGTGTCCCAAGGTGTCCCACGGTGTCCCCAAGTGTCCCCAGGAGTCCTCAGGGTGTCTCCAAGTGTCCCAAGGTGTCCTCTGGTGTCCCTGAGGTGTCCCCAGGAGTCCTCAGGGTGTCTCCAAGTGTCCCCTGGTGTCCCTGAGGTGTCCCCAAGTGTCCCCAGGAGTCCTCAGGGTGTCCCCAGGTGTCCCCTGGTGTCCCTGGGTGTCCCTTGCTGGGCTGGGGGTGTGTCCTGGAGCCCCCTGGATGTCCCCAAGTGTCCCCTGGAATGCCTGGAGTGTCCCCAAGTGTCCCCCAGTGTCCTGAGCTGGCACCTGGGGGCTGAGGTGGCACTGGGTTGACACTGAGGCGGCACTGGGTGGCACAGGGTGGCACGGGTGGCACTGAGGTGACACTGGGGTGGCACAGGTGGCACTGGGTGACACTGAGGTGACACTGAGGTAGCACTGGGTGGCACTGGGTGGCACGGGGTGGCACGGGTGGCACTGAGGTGACTGAGGTGGCACTGGGTGGCACTGGGTGGCACGGGTGGCATGGGTGGCACTGAGGTGACAGTGAGGTGGCACTGGGTGGCACGGGTGGCACTGTCCCCGCAGGAGGACAAGGACAGCGAGGACGAGGAGGCCGAGGAGCCCGACAGCACCACCGAGACCCCGCCCAGGTGGGGCCACCCCCTGTCCCCTCCTGGGGACAACGTGTCACCCCTGTCCCCCTGGGGAGGGTCCCGGTGTCCCCAGGGGGACCCCAGGGTGTCACTGGGGGGGGGGGTCCCAATGTCCCCAAGGGGTCTGGGTGTCCTCTGGGGGGGTCCCAATGTCCCCAGGGGGGTCCCAATGTCCCTGAAGGGTCCCCAGGGTGTCCCCGGGGGGTCCCCAGGGTGTCCCCAGGGTGTCCCCAGGGTGTCCCCATGTCCCCAGGGTGTCCCCAGCGTGTCCCCGGGGTGTCCCCGTGTCCCCAGCGTGTCCCCGGGGTGTCCCCGGGGTGTCCCCAGTGTGTCCCTGTGTCCCCAGGTGTCCCCAGGGTGTCCCCATGTCCCCAGGGTGTCCCCAGGGTGTCCCCATGTCCCCAGGTGTCCCCAGGGTGTCCCCGTGTCCCCAGGGTGTCCCCAGGGTGTCCCCAGGGTGTCCCCACGCCCACGGGGGTGGCACGTCCCCCTCGGGGGCCCCGTCCCCGCCCCCCGTGACCCCGTGTCCCCCCCAGCCCCCCCGACCAGAAATCCCACCAGATCATCAAGTTCGGGACCAACATCGACCTCTCGGACGCCAAGAGGTGACACCGGGGACAGGGGGGTGGCACTGGGGACAGGAGGGGACAGGGGGGACAGGAGGGGACAGGAGGGGACAGCGGGGTGGCACTGGGGACAGCGGGGACAGAGGGGACAGCGGGATGGCACTGGGGTGGCACTGGGGACAGCGGGGACAGAGGGGACAGCG